GAACTTTTGGATGAATCCGTCTTGTCTGCAACTAGAGGAGGAATCGGAACCATCGTGCTCAGAAGAGGATCCTTGTATTCATCATCTTCATCGTCTTCATCCTCTGCATCGGCCAAAAACAATGGATTGACGTCAGGCCGCTTCCCAAAGATTTCGTCCATTTCAGCATAGAGAGGACACATGTTTTCAAGTTTTTCCTCGATCATTTTTATTCCAGCCTTCCGATCAGCTGGGGTCAGACCAAATCCAGTTGACATAGATTTCGTATGAGCTTTCTTATACTTGTCTGTCAGCCACAGAGCACATTTCACAGTACGTGAAATGTACCTAGTAACTGCAATAATAATAAATAAATGAATACTGGAAAACACTATACATTGTTGTTAAAATAATAAATAAATAAATATGTATTTACATTTAATCTTAATTCATAATTTATATTTAATAAATTTATAATTAACTGTGAAATCCCCTTGAGTATTGTACATATAATATCACTAGGATTTCACAGAAATATCATAAGAATAAAGTATTAAAACAATGTTTATTCTTATACATTATGTACATATTTTATAAGCCATAAATAATTACATATGTATAAAGAATCAGCTAGTAGAAGCGTGAAATGGATGAGGAATAAGCTATATACATTTATCTGAAGCTTACCCATCCTTGATCACATCATCAGGGCATCAGATTGCATCATAACCCTCTTGGATGGCGTCATCAGGACCCTTTTGTGCTCTAATTCAAAGCTTGCATAATTCATAGCAGCCTACACGGGAAAGGAGCCCAAATTCTACATGCAAGACTGAATTATGCATGCAGCACATGCATTTCTCATGATCACAAGCTTGCATAAGCAGAGTTACACGTATGCAACCAACTCTACAATTGCACAGCTCCTGCACAGTAACTGTAGCCTTTTCAATTACGTGAGAAATAGGCCACAAAACTCAATTATGCATGTATGATCTCATGTCCTAGGACCTTCCACCCATGCATAGCACTACACAGCTGCAGCTCCCATCCTTACACGAAATTGTAGAGCTGCTAAGAAGCTCCCTAGTGCCTTGAGGGCCTCTCCTCTTCCCCTGAGCCCCCTGTAGAATATTTAAGGGGCTCAGATTCCTACCTTTTCCCCCCAGGAAAATTCTAGTAGCATCAAACCAACACTTGTACCGTGATTATTAGTGCTTCAAACCACCAATAACATTACAACCCAGCTACCTTAGACCTAAATAGATTTACTTTGCTCAGATTCAAGGCATTTCTACTTATCTCTATTGCATAAAGAATTATCCCCCTGGTTAAACAATTCTGGTCCTTAAGTGTACATACACTTATTCATCTGGATTTTTGTTAAAAGACTTGATCCCAAGTGAGTAGAAGAATTCCTCACATTGGAAGCCTATTAATCCACGTAACAGGATTGATCTGGATGCCCAACTGAATAATTGGATGAGTCAGCAGTAGAAGTACCATTCCTCACTGACTCCTCCCTGTTTCTTTTACAGGTTGAGGGATTTAACCACGAATAAACCTTCTCACTTACCATTCTTGTTAACACTCAGAGCACAACCCTTACAGGTTAGTAGCATAGAGGCTGACAATTGGGGGTCTGGCCTCATTTTACTCGTGATTTTTTCACCCATTACCATTAAATCATACTTACTAACACCATTCTATTTTATTTTATTCATCATGGCCTGCTAAAAGGTAAATGCAGGGATATTAATATTTATTTCAAGAACATAGATCCTTCCCTCCTGGCTGAAACCAGAAGATATTACACGGATCATCCTGAAAACATTACTGTAGAGCAAGAGCTTAGAAAAGTAGTTAAAAGAGTTTATAGAGATACTTACTGGATTTGTACCACTACTACTACTAGTGCAGTTCTATCCAGTGCTATTTACGCCCCAGACAACACTGTTATCTCTTACACAGACTATTTAGAAGAAGTAAAATCTGTCATATCTGAATACTACAGAAACCCTTCCTCTTTTAATCTCCCTCCTGACGTACCCCCTTTTAATTTCCTCGAGTCTGAATTAATAGAAGACACTACTACATACACTACTATTCCTGATTTTGGCTTTGGAAACCCGCACTACGCTTTAGACTTATCAGACTGAAATTTTTCTTACTTCTTTACATATCTCTCATTACTTCTCACCTCAATAGCGTAAAAAATCTCTAAAAACACCAAAAATAACTGTTTTTCAACGCTACACAATTGTTTCACTCTATTTTTTCAAAATTTTTTCTGACCAAAAAATATTATTTGTCTTACAAAACAATATTCTGAATCAAAACCTGAAACTTTTCCCCTTCTTCTTACCTTTTTTGTGGATTCAGGACGCCTTTCGCTAGCGATCTCCCTGAAGGAGAGGACCTACAAAAAATCTGAGTAGACCATTCGACGCGCAAGCATCGATTTACTGTACTAGATTTTTTTCCCAAGACTCGAAACCTTACGGTTCATTCAGCGTCTGTGCGCAAGACCTTGAAAAAGGACTGTTGTAGCTTGACTACGTAATCATGACTAATGATTACGTCTCACTACAGTCTCTGTCATGAATGACATAGACAATGATCTCGACAAGACGTCCGACTGTCTCATGATTCTTTCTTCTCACGTTTATTCCTTTTTCTTCTCTTTTCTCTTACATAATGTGGAATATAAATAAGCATGTATTTCTCTCCACATTATGCCTTTTCCCCTCATGCAATTAAGCCATCACTTTCTTTTCCTCCTACTTACGTACTCGTGCCTCAATAGGTTATGAGCCTTTCTCGTCTTTCGTTTATTCCACTTGGTACAAGTTAACTTGATGGCAACATCTTTTAACGCTTTGAATCCTTTTTTTTGGCGGTGCCGTTCTTAATAGTCAACCTTTAATCTTTCATTAATATTTTCTCGTGGTGTCTCTATTTGCGTCTCTCGGTTTTCTACCCCGGCGTTTCGCTCTTGGTGTTTCTCTCAGTGTTTTTCTCTCCATCAGTGTTTCCCTCTATCTCTATCGGTGTCCCTCTCTTGTCTCTCTGGTGAAGTCCCAAGTGTGGGCAAGTTTCTCTCTCTCTATCGGTGTTTCTCTCGTCTCTCTGGTGAAGTCCCATGTGTGGGCAAGTTTCTCTCTCTATTGGTGTTTCTCTCGTCTCTCTGGTGAAGTCCCATGTGTGGGCATGTTTCTCTGTGTTTTATCGGGTGTTTTCTGTACTTCTGTGTGATATAACGGGTGATTAAGTGAAATAGTGTTTCTTGATACTGAGTTTTTATAGTCTTCTAGATACTGAGTTTATATAGTTTTCTTGATACTGAGTTTTACTATTACTGTTCCTCCTCTCCAACTGGCAACGACTCCCTCTGCGACTCCTCTGCAAATTAAATCAATTTTTTTTCTTTTTTGAATATTTCCGTTATACTGCTACTGTTGTCACTGTGCCGTGGTTCTACCATTTTGCCTGTCCACATACGCGATTTCCCTCGAACCAATGTCCTCTGAACACTAGGTCACAGTTTCTCCAATTTTGAACAATTCTAGCTAGTTCATGCAAGGACTTGAGAAGTTGGCCTTTGGTATCGGTCTCCCTCCTGGATCCAGCGGGCCGTGTCTAAGGTGTCTTTACGACTGCTCATCTGCACCTGGAACATCATTGGTCTTGCAATTATCTCTTCGGCAACACACCAGACTCCCGCTCCTCTTTTCCTGAATGGCCTGATCTGTTACTACCGCCGACTGTTTCCCTCTCCATACTTTGGTCTACTAATTCTGGTCAAAAACCGACGGTCCCCAAGTTGCCCGGACCTGTGGTGTTGGGTCAGGACCGGGTGACCCTTAAAACCGACTGCCTGTTTTCGTCGATGGGTCCCCCTTGCTCCCATTCCCTGTCAACCTCGGCCCACACTGCCACCTCAGTACCACCACCTTCTTCTTCTTCGACCTTCTCGGCAAGAAGCTCACCGAGCTCAAAAAACTAAACTCGCTCAACTACCGACTCGCGCATTTCCTCAAATGGAACGGCCTGTTGACCTTCGGATTTTTAGTCTGCTCTATGCCGCCGTCCTCACCACCTCATCCTCGTTGATCCAAAACAACATCAAGCCTCTTCCAACAACAACCAAAAACGAGGAGCCCAACAGTCAACTGAGCACCCATTCAAACTGGAAAAGGACTACTCGGTCATTGGAGGGACTTTGGGCGGCTTGATCACAACCACAATCTTCTGGAATCAAAGGCTGTTCAGTCTGCTCAGCATCATACCCGGGGGGATCGGCATCGACGTCGGTGCTGGTCTATCGACCGCTTACCTTCATTCGCTCCAGTCTCGCTCCCCCAATCAACCTTCTTCATCCTGCACTGGGATTTCTGGAGGTGGACAACAATGTGGCGGTATTGCTCCAGCCTCCGCGACCACCAAACTGACTATCTAAATCTACGAACGCTTCAGTCTTCCTTGTCCTAATAGTCACACTGTGTTTGATCACCATCCGGTGCGGCTCCCGCGGATGGTACACTGGGGGGGTTGCGGTATTTCAGACACGTCCGTCTCGGGCATTTAGCTTTGGTCAGAAGGCTGGACGGACGCGCAGGCGACTTGGCGGAAATCGACTGTTCTCACCTGTACCCGAGCGTTTGGGTCTGCTCGATTCTGCGACGGGTACCCTGTGACTCTCTTCTACACAGTATGCTGCTGGCGACGGTGGTCTTACTAAAGCTTGTCTCACTTCATATGGACCGACCCATAACAACCTGCCACATCACATGCTCATAGAAACTCAATTCTGGATTGCGACCTCCTCTTCATGCTACTTGCGGCGATGGTCTTCAGGATGATTCTGGAACGGATCGTAGCTCTTCGTCAAATCGATCCCAGTCCACTGCCTAGCAGCGGATGGCTGTTAGCCTGTTTTTGGGGGTGTGTTTGGTGTACCCTTCCAGTCGGTGTTCCCAAGTGCCAACAGTCTCCAACATTCTCTGGTGGTGATCTTTTTTTCTCCTGCCCATCTCGGTCGGTTCTAAAGCAGCGGAAATCTGCCAGTTGATTTATCCCCTATCCTCAGTTTTCAACTTGTCGGTGATTGGACTATCAAGATCGCCAAAGTATTGGGAAACCAGCTTGACAACTACCAACCTCTCTCTGCAGCAAAGGACTGGCTAGCGGTGTCTCGCTCGGGCGACTGCAGCTGTTTTGTCAAGCATCTTGGATCTCCAGCAGAGCCCATTTGCCTCCACGCATACCCCGGCTCGACTCTTTGTCATACGACTTACAGCAAAATCCATAACACACCCGAAGCTCACAATGTCTGAAAACTCGCTCACCGTCTCTCAATACCTTCAATCGGAGGTGGAAGAAAACTTTTCAACTCATCATTCACACAAAGGGACTGTCAGCTGAAGGCACTATCTACCATTTGAGCTGCCAACTGGTTAACTGGAGACAGCCTGCTAGCAAAGCACATCGTCAAACCAACTCCAGCAAGACTGACCAACATCCGTCAGGTCAAAGCTCCCGACCAGATTTTTTTTGCGACATGACGCCACCCTGGTCTCAGGCATAGGTTCTAATTCCTCCACTTCCTCAACCGATAAAGTCATGGTCTTGTCGAGTGGGGGGGTGTTGTAGCTTGACTACGTAATCATGACTAATGATTACGTCTCACTACAGTCTCTGTCATGAATGACATAGACAATGATCTCGACAAGACGTCCGACTGTCTCATGATTCTTTCTTCTCACGTTTATTCCTTTTTCTTCTCTTTTCTCTTACATAATGTGGAATATAAATAAGCATGTATTTCTCTCCACATTATGCCTTTTCCCCTCATGCAATTAAGCCATCACTTTCTTTTCCTCCTACTTACGTACTCGTGCCTCAATAAGGACAGCCTGACAGTTTTTGTACGGCAGGTGTGTGGTAACACCGATTACAGTTTGTACACGCATACATACATAAATTAAGGTTGTATTACCACTCATACATAGTTTAAATCTAATTCGCCCGGATTTTCACAGCCCTGTCGATCGTAATACCACCGAGCGAGCTTGTTTGAGTGTATACCGCAGCCGCACTGCACCTCTGACTAGTTTTTCGACCATCGACCTTCTAGAAACTTCAAGAGAGTGTAGCTCACTCAATTTTTGAGCTATCAACAAGGTTAGACCACCATTTTAACCGCCTGAACCTAGCGAATCCAGCGCACACACTCACATCACGCGACTCTCAACCCTTCACAGTCTTATACTGTACTTTGTTTTTCTACTATATCTACATATTTGAAAAAGCTATAAAAACATATAAAAAAAATTATAAAAATATATAAACTCATAAAAAGTAAGAAAAACATTAAATCAACCGGTGATTGAATTGATTTTACTAACAAGAACACATCAGAAATATTTTCTTCTCATTTTTTCAGTATCAGAATAAAAACAATTTAAAAACCAATTATAAAAATCTGTTAAACTATAAACAGTAAGATAAAAAAGTGTTTTTGACTGACTTATACTCAGTTTTTATTAAGAAAAATTCTAATTATACTTTAATAAATATTTCTTTCAGTGGCAAACAACTCTTCCACCGCTACTCCAGCTGTCTCCAACCTTGGAATCCAAGACCAATTCACCCAAATCCGTGAAAATCAAGCCCCCTCTGAGCTTGAAACCAATCAAGGAGACAACATTAGCATATCTGACAAATCCTCAGGTATATTACATTTATTTTTACATTTTAATTAAAACCTATTTTACTTTTATTATTTTTGATCTGACATTAAAAATGGCTCCCTTATCCCTTAGACCTCGAGGTTATAATGGAAGATTCAGAGAGACCACCTCAGACAGAGGATTTCCACAGGCGTCAGTTATTCCCAAAAATAAAAAGAAAAATAGTAAAACTCAATCAATTAATGATACATCTTCTGTTAACAGTTCCACAGGCGGAGAAATTCAAAAGATACTATTACAGGATGAAGGAAAACAAAGCCTGGCTCAAGGACGTGAGGAACAGGACCAGCTACAGGGCCATAGTAGCCCATTTAAGATACTGCCAGGAGGACTTCCTTGCTATGGTCCAACTCCAAGGAGAGGAATTAGCTCTCAGGAGGACCAAAGGCTGGGATCCCAGAACTTTGACGGCAGGAATGTTCTTTCAACCCCCAGAACCAGCTCCCACCAGAAGAGATGTGAATCCTTACCCCCCAAGAGTTCCCAGAAACAGAAACTCCCGTCACCCCAGGAACATAAACAGAAACAGAGAATGGAGAACTCAGATCTACCAGGAGATGACCAGAATGGCGCGCTCTCTCCAAGGATATTATCAACACCTGGAACAAGGGAAAATAGCCCATCAACAGAGAAGACAGATGGATATGCACCCAGAAGACAGATTCCCATTCTAAATACTCCTAGAATTAGTACATCTAGAACTCAATCTCTTAACATTGATACACAAAATTCTCAACTTAACCTAGCTTTTGATATCTACATTAAAAATATTAACAAAATTAGTAAAAAATGCGTAGAAATGAATCAAAAGGTTTATGATGAAATTAAAATTTTGTGCCAGAAAATTGAGAATGGAGTCAATACTATGTCTGATGAAGAAGACTCCACATTATCACAAATTTTACAAACAATTGAGAAATTATACTGTGAGCCCCTTAATTTAGAAACAATTGTGCCACAAATCAGCAATGCAGTTAAGACAGATCTCAAAGCATCCTTAGAAAATCTTGAGACTTCCATTACGGAAAAGGAAACTGATTTAAGTGCAATAAGGAGGCACATGTCTGTATTAGAGGTAAAAATGGATAAAAATATCAAAGAAAGTATAGCTAGGATTGATTCTCAACACACTACATATGAGAGCACTATCAATAGGTTAGAAACTGAAATTAATCATCTTATTAATATGCAAAGAAAATCAGATGAGAATGTAATTAAACTTACTAGAACTATTGAAGAACATATGAGAAAAACTCCTTCACCAGAAATTATTTTACCTCATACAGCATTACAAGCTCCCACTAGGAATACTCATCAACAATTGGCCACAACATTAAGTGACACTACCAACAGTCCAAATAATCACCAACCAGAGAGTCAACCAAGTACCAATGTCAGAAGAACTCAATCAGTAACCACGGACAGAGATACACCTACCAATGCAGAAAATAATACTGAAGATAAATCTCTTGCTAAGTTAATTCTTTCAAGCCTACCTAAGCCAGGAGATTGGCCAACATTCTCAGGAAGTGGAGAATATGACCATTTTAAATTCATGGATTGGATTGATAATCTGAAAGAGGATACTTCAGCACCAGATCAATTAATCTGTTCTAGATTAACTTCTATATTAACAGGAGTAGCTAACACGTGGTATACTAATAGAAAGAAAGAAGTTGGAATTGGAAAATCATGGGACTTTTGGAAAGAAGAAATCATCAAAAAATTCAGTACCCCAGAATGGAAAAGGAAAGTAAAAATTGCCTTCAGAAGGGATAAATTTGATGTCACAGGAGATAAAGAACCTTGTGAATGGGTAACTACTCAAGTTAATAGATTGAGAGCCATAGAAAGGGATATTTCCATAGAAGACATTAATGATAAACTACTTTCTTTATTAGACCATAAGACTGAATACAAGATGAGACAAGCCTTAAAATTATCAGATGACATTACACTCTTTACTACACAACTAGAAAGTATTGTAAGTGTGAAAAGAAAAAATAACAAATCTAAAAGTAAGAATTTTAAGAAAGATTTTGAGAAGAAAAGGACTGTGGAAAAACCTGAAGAAAATAAAGAGAAAAACAAAGAACTTACTTGTTATGAATGTGGTAAGAAAGGACATAAATCCACTAAATGTCCACAAAAGAATAAAACCACCAAGAAAATTTCTCTTATGACTCAGGAAGATAATCAAGTAGACTTTTCTAACTCTGACCAATCAGAACCTGAATCTTTACCTGAAGACACCTCTGAGGATGATAGTTCATCAGAAAATGATACTAATGCAATAATTGATCCAGAAGAATTGACTGTTTCTAATATTGGAAGGATTTCAGATAAGTCACTACCTAAACAAGTGATAAAATTACCAATAAAGAAACCTGACCACTCTGGGAAAATGCATAAAACTGGTGGAACTAACATCACCAATGTTATTTGTAATAAATACAAAATTAAATGTCTGATTGATGGTGGAGCATTCTGTTCAATAGCAGGACCCAAACTCCTTGATCAAATACACCCCTCATGGCGTAAACACCTACTACCCATTAAACCTGATAAATTTTACAGTTGCAATAGTAGACTAAAACTGTCAGCTTGCTACTATGGCAGAGACAACCTGTCATAGCAAAATAAAATAATAAAAATACATAAAAAATCTAAGAATAAAGTAAAAACATTACATAAGTAAAAGAAACTA